GAGTAGAGTGATGTTTTCCAGCCAAGTGCTTTTGTTTCGTGGACTGAATGAGAAATTGGTTTCTTTAAAGTATCTGGTCAGTATATCAGGACTGGCCTTCAGAACACTAACAACCAGCTCCGCTACCATCTCATCCTCGGTAGCCTGCTTCAGCCCCACCAGGAACTGCAGAAGAACAATGTTTCCTGCTCTGGATGGGTACAACGAGGTGATAAAAGTACAATGAGGGGAAAGCATTTTGGGCACATTTGACTTGACCTTATTTCTTTTACACTTGGGAGATTTTGTGCTAGTAGAGTCTTATTTTACAAAACGGTGTTTAAAACAACTATAGAATAAAATACAATAAAATTTAGCTGAAAGAATGACGATATGAAGACCTCAAAGACTTACCTTCCAGCGGTGCCCAGGCTCGGGTCATGAAAACTGATGCCATGTTTGCGAGAGCAGCAGAGGTCCAGCAGGAAGTTATGCACCAGCTCCCTCACTATACGCTTCCCTTCACCTTCATCCTTCTGTTTCTAAAAGATGTTGGATGCAAAAAGCTTAAAGACATTCTGAAAGGCATTCGCGATGTATTGACCATTTGTAATTTGATGCTTTCCAGAGCAAAACCTAGGAGGGGACTTGATGTTATCCATCAGAGTTTAATAATAATAATAATAATGTGACATTATTGGTTAATATTATTTTCCCTCACCTACAACCTTATAATAGAAATAGGATTTCAGAGGTAGAATAACATTGTTATTACCTTCTAATTACATTGTTACTAACAGGAACATTTTGTGCATTTTTAATTATCTAGAGGTCCCAAGCAAGATTTTCCACAAGGGCTGTCACAATTTCAGGTTTTTACTACACAATTATCATGGCCAAAATAATTCACAATAACAAATATTATTGTGATATCAGTAGAAATTTTGGGATAAAATAGATAATGCTAAAAGTTAAGTTAACCTTTGACTTTGTTTATTTCTTGTTCTTGTCTCTATTTTGGCCTATGAACCACACTCAATAAGTATAGGGAGGTGGAAAGAGAGTTTATATCCATTACTGTACAAAACCATACAAAATTAATTTTCTGCTGATCGGCACTTCCTGCAGACTGGGGTCTATAACACCCCGTCTTTTCTTTACGGAATCCAAAAAATGATGCAGCAGCAACAACTTCTTCCTCTTCATCTTATGATATCACTGTATGTGTAGTATTATTAACATGATATCAACATTTCCTTTTTTTGGCAAGGTCCCTTTAGTTAACGTTAGTTAATGCATTAACTACACTGTAAAAAATCACAGTGAATTTAACGGTAAAAGACTGTAAAAATGCTACAATAAAAACCTGTTAAATGGTTAACGGTAAGTTCCCCTACTATATACGGTGAAAAACTGTATTGGACATTACATGTAATTTTACGGTAGTAAAAAGATTGTATAATTTACAGTGAATAACCGTAAATTGACATTCCCAGAATTCCCTGCGTTACATTTCAAATTTGATGTTTTTTTGTTGAAATAACTATGTTTCTTAGTTTTTTCTTATCAGTTGTGTACATTAGGGTTGTATGTTACATCTAATGTTGTTTAATTAATGTTTATCGCATTATTTCATGATGGTTACCATGATGGTGTTTAGTGTTTGTGTGAATGACACCGTGCGCCTTCTATATATATTAATATTTAAAAGCTGCTTGTGATAGGCTTTGGTTCATCATGTGATTTTCTCATCACCACCTGCTTTTGGTGCAGTGTTTACAAAGGTACAAAACAGATTTCAGTACTTCAGTGGGTTGGTATATTAACATTATATCAATGAAATTACGGTATTTAACTGTAAGTTTAAGTTAAAACCGTAAAACCTAAAACTCTGCTACCGTATTTTTTACGGTAAAATTCTGGCAACCACAGCTGGCGTTTTTTTACCATAAATTTTACAGAATTTTTTTTACAGTGTAACATTAACAATGTGCAATAGATTTGCTACAGTTTTTATTAATTAGTTAATAAAAATACAACCGTCCGTTGTTAGTTCATGTCCATTAAACAGATACAACTTTTGATTATGTATTACTAAAAGCTGAAATGAACTTTAACTTAGATTAATAAATTCTTCACAGATTTTTTTTTCATTGTTAGTTCATGTTTACTAATGGAACCTTATTGTAAACCTTATTGTAAAATGTTACGCATTTTTAAATATCATGTTTATGGTCAACATCAGTACTTTGCGACACCACACCCATAGGGTTAACAAATTTACCCATTCATTTCTGTGGAGAATTTTCCAACAGATTTGACTATTTTAGATAGAAAAATGTACCAAAATTTGTTGGGTTCAGATTATTCAGATTCAGATTATTTTTATTGTGTCAGCCAATGAAATACATCAATTCATCATTCTAATACAGCCAAATCTATTGGATAACAACATTGTCTGTCTAGAAACTAATATAACAGGGATTTGAATTACCCATGCAAATCTCGCTCTGTATAGAGCGACAGAGTCAGAGATGGTATTGTTGAGCTTCCACTGTACCTCTTTCTCAGCCACGCTGACATCCACAATCCCATTCCACTTATAAAGAGAGGCAAACTGTCCCAGTATGGAAGGACTAAAGAAACGCACTTTCTGAGTTTTCGTGATGGTCTTGTTCTGCACAACCTATGGCCAAATACATTAAAAAGTTATGACATTTATGGACAGCACCTCACTTTGGTAAATGGCATCCATAAGGAAGGGTCTTACTCTGGTTTGCAGCGTGGACAGAATCAGGTTTACGATGGATAATCTGTCTTCTTTAAGTCCACTGGTCAAGATTTCAGACAAAAAATCTAAAGGGCGACAGAAAAATAATAATGTAAGACCATTTAAAGACACAATTCATAATGCACAGTCGCACACAGATTTGGTTTGTTGATACCTTTAGCCTCCAGTATCTGGCCAATAGTTGTATTGTCTCCAGACATCAGGAATGAAAGGACAAACTGTATGTAAGCCATTCTAACATCTGGCTTTCCCTGGAAAATTAACACAGTAATTAAAATGCAAATGTTATGTAAAAGTTATGTGCTATTTACAGTTTGTAAAGCACTTAACAGTTTTGTCTCTTCTCCGTGAGAGGCTGATGAGACCTTTACTGAAGTGTATTTGACTGAAGACATCCCTCGCAGCCTCGGCACCCTGAGATACCACTGCGGACAGGAAACACAGACACTGGCGGACAAACCTGTCCAAAAAAAAAAGGTACACAAACCACAATGAGTGCATTCAAAACATTTCAAATGATTCATTTTGCCTGCTTATCATATCATACTATAAAGATATTAACCCACAAATACCATAAAATAAATGCAAATATCTGATTAAGCTTTGTATAAGAAATACCTGTGATTCTCCGAATGTAGAGAGGACAGTAGAAGTTTCATGTGAGTGGAGACGGTCTTCCTAACTATGTTGGCGCCCACCATGCTCAACTGAGACAGATCACTGGCCGTCCGCAGCAAAATCATTTCTAGACTCTGAAATATCAGCATCATCTACAAAATATATTAAATAGAATTTAAGCTGTGATTATGATGCAAAAGTAATGATGCAAACAGTAAACTCTTTCATTATCGTCAATTGCAACTGCATATTTTGTGCACCAAAAAGAACTAATGTTGGCAAGTCAGCATACAACATCTGTCCAAGTCTGCAGCATGAATAGTGTGCACAGCATGAACATTTTACTGTATGCATGAAACACCTGGAGAAACTTCTTTATTTGCCAAAATGTAAATAAATCGTTAATACCACAATGTAATGCAACTAGACCTTCCATTTCCTATGTGATGAAAGAACTGGAAGCCTATTCTCCTGCTTTCTTGACTCAATGTATGATTATGGACTCTTAAAATTAAGACATTTTACACTAAAGTAAATGGAAAATGCAAAGCATTTCTGTAGTCAAACTCTGTACTCAAAGAGTAGAACATGGCACTAACAATGGCAAGGCCGTGGGTTTGATTCAGGGAATGCATGAACTTATTAAAAGTATCCTGTGAATGCAGTACAAGTTGGATAAAAGCATCTGTCAAATGCATAAATGTAAATGTAATGTAAAATGTCCGTGATTCTTAGTGAGATGATGCTGAATTCTACATTCAAAGCAGTGAGGCCATGATTGCATAATGTTTTATGTACTATTTATTACGAATAGCAGGCATTATGCAGTGTAAAAAAGTACACTAGTATAGCAATCCAAACACAGAATATATGTGTGAATAAAACACAATGAAAGACCAGTATTCAATAGACAGGGCTGCAACTGTTCAACAAGCCTGGTTAATAAAATAAAACACAAACAGACAGACAGATAGACAGATAGATGATAGATAGATAGATAGATAGATAGATAATTGACTTACTTCAGACTCAGAATTATTTTCTTCCTCCAGTAATGCGAAAATTTCTGAACATTCAACTGAGATTTTTATGTAGCCTTCGACTGCATCATAGATTTCTGCGCATGGAAGTTTCTTCGCAAATCTTACGAAGGTCTCCAAACCTACATAACATATAAAGGAAGTTTATGATTAAGTACAATCTTAACATTTGTTCTCTTACAGTAAGTTATAAGTAAATATTTTGTATTAATTCTGCGTTTTTACTGTAACTGCAGCAAGTTCTGAGCACCATAAAATGTGAAAACAAAATAAAAGTCTGGGGGAGCGAACACTGGAAGCGTGATATTTAACATTTAACGTAGAGAAAATTACAATGTACACGAATCGAGCATTATCAAATAAAACATAAAAACCGCAACACATGGTTTTCAGCTGTAAGCAGACGACTGACCAGCTAAAATAAAATACACTTACCCTTTAGCGCTTTAATTGAATCCTTTAGCATGGATTTAAAGACCGTGCCAGTGAACTCGCTTTCGTCTGTTTTGGTTTTCTTAGTTGTTGTAGCGGACTCAAGAGGATACCCATTTTGACGTTTAGTAGCCATTGCTTTATCTCACTGTAAATGAAAACCATAGACTGTATGAAAACAGACACGTGGAACAGCGGAAGTGTAAAACCAGAGCGACAGAGCAGCAAAACACGTGGAAAGGCTTATTGTATGAATATTAATTTTGACGTGCTGACGTCACGCTAGACGTCACCTCATTAATATTCATTTTACAAGCGTAACGTGGTGTATATTAAAGGCAGGGTATGTGATTTTTCAAAAACACTTTAGAAAACTGATTCGGGCCGAATCGCAAAACAAACTTGTAGCCAATCAGCAATAAGAGGCGTGTCTACTCGTGATGTGGAGGAGAGACAGGCATCGATGAGCTTGCGAATAGGCTTTACTGCATAGGGGTCACTCTTGATCACGTCTTTGGTAACTGGCTTGGCACGTCGATAATTGCAGTAAATGCGCATTGTTGCCAAAACTGTCATGCAGATTACCTGAAAAACACAAGTGTTTGCAATAAACCTACATGGATTTCTATTGGGGCATTTTTTGTGTGTGTGTGTTTATTTGTCATCTTTTCTGTCAAATTCTTAAATGTGATAAATCAATACAATTCAAATCAACCGTATAGACACTATAGGCTGTTACCAACCAAATGAAGTCCGCATCAGCAAAATCTACTGTTGCAGAAAAAAACTACAACTTCGATTAGGTTGAGATATTGAGTCATTCATTCAACCAATTCATTCAAAACGGCTATTCAGAACAATCCAAGTAACTGGCTTTATCAATGGATCATTGAATCATTCGCTCAGCCGATTCATTCAAAAATGCAGATTTCCTCTGGTTTGTTTATTGCTAAGTAATTCAATAACTACATATTATTCTCAATTATATAGACCCCACCTTGAACTTCCTGTACGGGCTGAAATGTCGCACCTCCGCGACCACATACTGCTGGAAGAAAGGGTGGTTTAAGGCATCTCTGGCAGTGTAACGTGCCTCAGGATTCACCACCAACAATGTGGAGATCTGAGAAAGTTCGCAGTACAGAGTGCAGGTTAGCGGATCTATTGTAGGCTTGTATTCATTGGCTGGTAAAGCTAAACAAGTGTATTCCACTCATTTGATATTCCCTGATCTGCTTCACACGCACCAGGTCTTTGACAGTGTCTGAACGGTCGTCCCACTCCGGAGAGGTGAACTGGTAGCTTCCCGACAGGATCATGCGCAGCATTAGCATCTGCTTCCTGTGCCAGAAAGGAGGAGAACCTGCAAGAAGGGTGTACATGATCACCCCTGCGCTCCAGCTGAAAAACACAAGAAACGGTGCCATTTCTCCATTCAGCCCTACTTAAAAGTAGAATTTTAATTGGTTGGTCGTCAAGACCGAGCACTTACATTTACAGTATGCAATGAAAAGTCTTTTTCTAATACATGCGGGTGTACTCACAGATCAACGGCGGTCCCGTAACCTTGGTGGTGAGGATCCATAGAGCATTCGATAATCTCTGGGGCTAGATAGCCTGGCGTTCCACATACCTCTATGTGTGACGACACAAAATCAAAGGAAGCTCTAATGAAACACATAGTTATGTGATGCATGCACATTTTATGTATTTTGGAATCATAACATGTACTATGTACATCAGCATGACAAATTACTTTTTTTTTGGTTAAATCTCATGTCCTGTTCTTGTTTTACAATCAATCAACCAATCAATCTTTTTATTGCATTAATGAAAAACATTCTGTCCAGGCACATTACATTGTCAGCATAAATGTAGGTAGTAAAAATAGTAGCATATATGATGTATAAAAGGAGAGAAACATTATTTAAATTAAAAATCTTATATTATTATATCTTATAATTTAATATCATAAATATGATAAGGTTATATTATAAATTTTTAGATATTTTATAGGATTATATTAGAATATTGGTTACATTAAAACATACATAATATGTGACCCTGGAACACAAAACCAGTCATAAGTGTCAATTTTTCGAAATTGAGATTTATACATCATCTGAAAGCTGAATAAATAAGCTTTCCATTGATGTATGGTGTGTTAGGATAGGACAATATTTGGCCGTTATACAACTATTTGGAAATCTGGAATCTGAGGGTGCAAAAAAATCTAAATATTGAGAAAATCGCCTTTAAAGTTGTCCAAATGAAGTTCTTAGCAATGCATATTACTAATCAAAAATTATGTTTTGATATATTTACAGTAGGAAATTTACAAAACATCTTCATGGAACATGATCTTTACTTAATATCCTAATGATTTTTGGCATAGAAGAAAAATCAATAATTTTGACCCATACAATGTATTTTTGGCTATTGCTACAAATATACCCCAGCGACCTAATAGCAAATAGCTCCTCCAGTTCCATGTAACATATTAACATCTCATATAAGGATAGCATGAAACCCGAATCCACAAACCTGACAACTACTGGTCAGAAAATGCAAATCGGATGTTTCATCATGATCCCATCTGACCTCAATTCTCTTAGTCAGCGATACAACATTTGCAAAACATGCCACGATAAACGATTAAGATTTGATTCGATTCAGGGGCCTGCGATTGATATGGCAATATTGTGACTATTTAAAGGGGTCATATGATGTGATTTCAATTTTTCCTTTCTCTTTGGAGTGTTACAAGCTCTTGGTGCATAAAGAAGATCTGTAAAGTTGCAAAGACTAAAGTCTCAAATCCAAAGAGATATTCTTTATAAAAGTTAAGAGCACACATGCACAACAAAAAATACACTTTATTTTTTAAATGTTATCAAAAAATAAATACTGAACAAAATATCACGACACACACGTTAAGAAAAAACATTTCAAACTTACCATTAAGTTTTTGTCCTGGTGCAATCTGCACAGCAAAGCCAAAATCAGTGAGTTTGATGTTCATATTGTCATCCAGAAGGATGTTTTCTGGCTTTAGATCTCTGTGCACAATGTTTTGAGAGTGAAGGAACTGAACCACCTCTAACAGCGACCGCATAATCTTCCTGCAAAATTAAAACAATCTGCTGCAAATACACATACAAAACGCACTGTTGTACATTGAGCTATGGTCATATTTCATCCTAAAATCGAGACAAGAAACAAGACATTACTCCGTGTTGATGAGACATTATTTAGTGCAGGAGTTCATTACGACTCGCCCAGGAAAAGCACAGAAGTTCTGAGAAATCAAACACAAAATACAATACATGTACTTTCTTCTCTGGGGTGATCATATCTGTTTTATTCATTGCAACAAGTTATCATAATCACATCTGACAACTGGAGTTCAGGTCCAAAGGGGTTCAGAAAGCACACAAGATATTTTTGGGGATTTCTATGTTGTATTTCACGTCGCGTTTTTATTTATCTCGATTTCTCAAAACGGTGCACTTGTGTGTGCGATGACAAAAATGATGAGAGCGACTTATATATATAATTCAAATAAGACAACTTTTAAAAGAAAAAAACGCTTTTTTATCATGCCTTTTTTTTTATATAAAACAGTTTATTTTATACTTTTGATTTTGTGATGAAATATGACCCGCACATGTTCTTGACAGGTTTCATGAAATCATTATACTAACCTTGTCTCTTTTTCACTGAGCGTAACCTTCTCGGTTAGGTAATCAAAAAGCTCTCCTTTCTTCATCCTGGGAGAACAATATTTATTGCATTTAACTATGTTTCAAATGGTATTAGAATGAAAAGTTAATGTAGTTATCATGACCTCATATTCATTTAAAAAACTATAAACACACACATAATATAAAGTATATAAACTCAGCAAAAAGAAACATCCCTTTTTCAGGATATTGTTTTCTCAATATAATTTTGTAAAATCCAAATACGCTTAACAGACCATTATTGGAAAGTGTATAAACAATCATTTTCATGCTTGTTCGATGAACCACAAACAATTATTGCACCTGTGGAACAGACTTTAAGACACTCACAGTTTACCGGTGGCAGGAAATTAAGGTTTTAATAACTTAGGACAGTAAAGAGACGTTTCTACTGATTCTGTGAACACCAGACGAAAGAAGTCAAGGGTTCCTGCTCTCCTGTGTGAACATAACATAGTCCTGCAATGTCCATATTGTAAGAAAGGAGAACAGAAAGGGCCGCTGATTGTCCTTGCTGTGGCACACCACATGTTGTGTCCCCTCAGATATGTTTGAGAACTTGCAAGTGCCTTGTTGGAAGAGTGAACAAATCTGCTGCAGTCCATGAGGAAGAGATGCACTCGCTAATAAGAGTCATTATTCCATTGCTGCTTAATAAATACCTGTAAAACATGTTCAGCTTAAAGGGATACTCCACCCCAAAATGAAAATGTTGTCATTAATCACTTACCCCCATGTCGTTCCAAACCCGTAAAAGCTTTGTTCGTGTTCGGAACACAATTTAAGATATTTTGGATGAAAACCGGGAGGCTTGTGACTGTCTGATTGACTGCCAAGTAAATAACACTGTCAAGGTCCAGAACAGTGTTATTTACTTGGCAGTCAATGGGACAGTCACAAGCCTCCCGGTTTTCATCCAAAATATCTTAAATTGTGTTCCGAAGATGAACGAAGCTTTTAGGGGTTTGGAACAACATGGGGGTAAGTGATTAATGACAAAATTTTCATTTTGGGGTGGAGTATCCCTTTATCCCTTTTTTTTTATGTTAATACAAATATTTATGGGGAAGTCGTGGCCTAATGGTCGAGTCTCATACCGGCAGGGATTGTAGGTGGGGGGAGTGAATGTACAGCGCTCTCTCCCACCTTCAATACCACGACTGAGGTGCCCTTGAGCAAGGCACCGAAC